TTTAGGTGCGCCATCAGAAGAGGCCAGTCCCCAGAGAAGGACATCTACGCTGGGTGAGGCAAGAGGGTCAGCAAAAAGAGAGCCGCCCTGGACGAGGTGGAGGTGGATGGACACGGTGGCTGCAGCAACAGGCTCACACAGAGCCGCCGTGGAGGGGAGGGCGCCGGGCCGGGCAGGCAGTCTCACTCTGTGCTCGCTCTGAGTGGGAACGGACTCGGTGGAGCCTACAGACAAAGACGGTGTGCGTGGTGGAGTTCTGTTTGCCAACGTCAGCCACTTGGGATCTTTCCGTCCCAGCAGCACTAGAGAACCAGCCAAGTGGTGCCCAGCAGGGCAAGCGAGGGGACGGCTGTGTCTAGGAACTGGACCCCCTCCCCGAAAGGACAGCAGGGTCCCGGGAGGACAGTGAAGGGGCCCCAGGAGGACAGGTAAGGGGTCCCCAAGAAGACAGTGATGGGGCCCCAGGAGGACAGTGAAGGGGCCCCAGGAGGACAGTAAAGGGGCCCCAGGAGGACAGTAAAGGGGTCCCCAGGACTCCACCATGCACTAGAGGAATGCGCCCTGGGGGTTCCCCTTGGGGAGGGGGGGGTCGCCCCACCACTGGCCTCAGAGCGTTCAGCTAGTGTGTCACCCTCCCACCCACAGGGCACCAGGCTTTGTCCCCTGGAAAGCTGGACACAGGCCCAGTGCTGTCAGATCACAAAGCAAAGGAGCTGGTACCCCAGACCCGTTCCCGCCAGCTGGCCCTGCTCTGGGCCAGTCCTGCCCTTGCGATGCCTGGCGGGGACTAGCCACGGGCTCCAGGACACCCTCGTGACTCTCCCCACCTCCTGGAAGGGAGAAGTGGCTCTGAGAGCCTCCCTGGACACTGGACCCTTCCCAGCAGCTCTCGTTGGCCCCCAGCCCTGCGGGAGCCTCCGTCTCAGAGTGGCCGTGGCCAGGCCCTGCTAGGAGACAAACGGTGTCCCCAAAAGAGAGGCCGACATCCCGAGCCCTGAAGGCGACTTTATTTGAGGAAGTGAGATTTTTTCATGGAGGTGCTGTCAGCTCAGATAAGGGAGGCCAGGCAGGAGGAAGCTGGGTGCAAACCCTTCTGAGTGGTGTCCCACGAAAGGGAAGAACCAGGTCACAGGACACGGCAGTGACTGGGGTCTGGGAAGCGTGTGAGTGGCCATGCAAGGGGCCGCTGCTGGTCTCTCCCCAATTGAAAGGAAGAAAGATTCAAATCAAAACACACATGGACCACAGAAACAGCGACTTCCACCACCCGGAGACCACAAGAACTAGATGGTTCCTGGCTACCACGACCACGTGGTCTGGAAAGGGTCACATTAGAAGTCGTGGGTAGAGTGGGAGAAAAACGTGGACCAACACCCAGTCTCACGCGAGAGACCAGGCCCGCGTCAGCCGGAATGGTGGAACCGCCGAGGCTTTGGCCCGCGGGCAGCCTTGAGGTTTGGAGTGGAGCTCGGCCTGGTGACTCAAGCTTTGGCCAAGCAACTGACCATCTCCAGGGGAAGGGGCCTCAGGACCGTCGACCACAGGAGGGAAAAGGACAGCGTTTGCCCAGGGCCAGGCTGCTCAGGGTGGGGAGAGGAGACCTGGAGACCCGGGACACAGCGAGGAAGTGGCTCTGCGAGGGAGCGCGGGGGTGAGCGGAAAAGAGAGGGGCCCGGGGGTTGGGGGCGTGAGGATGTGCTGCTCTGCAGGCTGTGGCCCAATTCACAGCGAAAGGGAAATACGCAAGCCGTGGGGAGAGCAGACCCGGGCACAGGGTCACACTGGGAAAGTGGCCGAGCCCAGCGAGAGGTGCCCGGGATTCTCTGGAGTGGCAAAGCCAGCGAGGCTCTCTCGGTGCACCTCTGCAGAGAGAAATCTACTCGGGGACTGGGCTCACGTGGTCATCGAAGCTGGCCAGCTCCGAGAAGAAGGGGCAGGCTTCGCATTCCAGGCTCCTCCGGATTCGCGGTGCTGCGGGCACTGACGGAGCCGAGGTTGGCAGGCAACACGGAAGGCGGCTGGCGGACGTCCCAGTAAGTGGCGGTGGTCAGAGGACAATGGAGAGCCCAACGTCGAATTCGGGGGAGGGGGTGAGAGAACAAAAGAGTTAGATTTCTGTCCGAATGTCAAAACACTCGAGGGGAAATGGAATTAAAGGCTAAGGGCGTTTAGGCATGAACAGACTGAAGCCGCGCCTCTCCCAGACGCGTATCGGACTTGTCCCTTGCCGCCCCGAGACAGGCCTCCTCACCACCGTGGATTTGGATTCCAGCCCCCAGACCCGGAATGTCGGGAAATGCTACCGCGTGGACATCTTCGAGACGGTCCTTCCCCGGCCAGGCCTGCCTCAGCCCCTCAAGTGTACATCATTTAGGGGACCATCCCCTGTCACCCCATAAGACCAGCGATTCTCAACCTGTGGGTGGTGACCCCTTTGGGGGTCGAACAACCCTTTCCCAGGGTCATCCAATTCATCACAGTAGCAAAATGACAGTGATGAAGTAGCCACGAAACTAATGTTATGGCTGGGGGGTCACCACCACCTGAGGAAGTGTATGAGGGGTCAGGGCATCAGGCAGGTTGAGAACCACTGCCGTAGACTGACACATCCGGGATTGCAGTTGCTGGCAAAGCCCCCTCTCACTCTCGGCCTTGCTAGTCCTGCCTGGCCCCTCACAGACACGTGGGTTCCCTGGACCCAAAAATGATCCCCCAGCTTTGAAATCAGAAAACCAACTTCAGACGCAAAAACAGCAGCTGCGACCGGGCACAGCTCACGCCTCGTGTCCAGCGCCCACGGGGCTGCTCTTGGGAGCCCAGGGGCCTGGGCGTGGGCACACGGTGTGGCCGGGCCCCAAGGAAAACCAAACGCCGGCCAGGGCCTTCCTCCTGATGCTTCCTAGTGGGAAGCGCACTTGGCCTGGCTCGGCGCCTCCAACGGGCAGCAGGCCAGGCCCAGCCCCCCACTCCCACGAGCCACCCCTGGCTCCTCCTGACCCGAGGGTCACCGTGTTCTGACAGGGAGGGGCACGGAGGCAGCGAACAGCACCAGGTAGGTCGGATATGAGCCCTGCCACCCTGGAGGCTCCCTCAGAGAGAAGGTGCCATGAGGGCCCAGCCCTGGGGACCCCGAGGTGGCCCATCAGAGGCCTCACATACCCACAGTCTCAGGGGTGGTCCTTCAGGGGCTCGGCACCCTGGGTGGTCTGAGCCAGCATCCAGCCGGGCTGGGCCCTTCCGAGACTGGGAAGGACAGGGGAGGTGGGCATCTGGCAGGGAAACAGGGCACCCTGGGCGTGGGGGGGGAGCAGCAGCAAACCCCCACTCCCCCACCACACAGGCCAGGCTTCTGGCTCCCATTCTGCCTGGAAGGCGGGTGGGGGCTGTGGAAGGGAGCAGGCAGGGCTCCTCCAGGAGGAGAGGGGAAACTGAGTCCAGAGCCCACACAGGGCTTGGTTGGCAGGGCCCGGGGCGGGGCGGAGTGGAGGGTGCGGGCCCAGCCAGAACTTTGGGAGCTGGCAGGCCCCTCTCCGGCGGGCAAGGAGTCCAGGAGTGCAGTCTCCTCCCCCTCCCCCCCTGCTCATTTCCTGTCTCCAGTAGCCAGGCAGCAGGATGCAAATTTGAACATGGCAGGGGGAGGGGCCGCCCGCTGGGGCACAGGCAAGGGCTGGGACCGTGCCAGGAGGGGAGCTGCAGCAGGCCACGCGGGCGGCCCAGCCCACCGTCCAGGAGGGCGGATCGTGCAGCCCCGCCTGGGGGTCCCTCCGCGCCTGTCTTCCCTTAGCTTCAGACCCCAGCCAGGCTCTTGCAGCAACTGCCTAGTTCCGGTTTTTGGGGCCCACTTTCATTTCTCCTCTCCTAAGGCCCAGGGCAGTGGCTGCACCCTGTTGTTCAATGGCTTCTCTGTCACTGGGGCACAAGCAGGGCGCCGGCCTCTCCTCCCAAGGCCTCCCCGCTACCTCCCCAGGCACACCTTCAACACAGCCGGCTACATTTAGGTCTGGGGGTTATTTATGCACAGACTCACTTAAATAGTTATTGATTGAGGTCTGAGGCTTATTGACCTACTCATCTTATTTACATAGTATTTATTTAGGTCTGGGCCTTCTTTAGATAGCCATCTTATTTACATAGAATTTATTTTTCGGTCCAGAGCTCATTTACGTACACATCTTGTTTACATAGTGTTTTAGGTCTGGGAGGCGCCCTGGTGACCCAGTGGGTTCCACACGGAACTGCTCACTGCAAGGCCGGCAGTTTGAAGCCATGAGCTGATCCACAGGAGAAAGATGAGGCTCTCTGCTGCTCTGACGAGTTACTCTTGGAGACCCCCGGGGCCCTTCTGCCCTGTCCCGTCTAGTCTCCGTGAGTCGGCATCCCCGGTGACAGAGGGCTCCTCATCCCAGCGGGGTGAGGGCCCATGTCTAGCCAGGCCACCCTGCCATCCACCCACATGCCACCTCTCTCTCTGCCAGGGAGTCAGCTGGTCCCCACGCAGAGCGAGGCTGAAGGGGTGGGGCAGGCAGAAGCCCCTTTGAGACGCCACTCCCCACCCCACATGCCCTCACCATCAACAACCACAGTGTCATTCAGCTCAAGGCAGCTAGACCGCAGGTCACCCACCACACCCTCCTGGTAGGCCTCTGAGCCACCCAGTCCCAAACCAGCCCTGCCGACACGACACCCCTGCCCCTCACCCTCCCCACATTCTCTGGGGCCCGCTTCTTCTTCTCCCTTTCCTCTGAGGCCCCTGCTCCATCGCCACACCACGTGTGGGTTCACCCCCCTTTCCTCATGTGGGGTCTCCGTGCCGCTCACACTCCTCCACCTCAGGGCCACCCGTGCCTCTTCTGTCCAGACACCATCCCTCTGGCCTGTCCACTGTGGTCACCAGAAACGCTGGCCTTCCTGTCTCCCTCCCCCGCCCCCGACTAGAGCACACTTCCCCAGCTTACCCTTCTCATGACCCATGGATGTGCATCACCCACTGACGTGGTCAGCTTCTCAGGGTCTCAGGAAGCCCCTGGCCGTTGTACTCCACGCTGCCACCTGGTGGGGACACATTCACACGTCCACGTTAATGGTATAAACGCATGAATCTAGAAAAACAAGCCTCACCTCACCCACCCTATCACCAAGGGCCCCTTGGGACATATGTGTCCCACATGAAGAAAAAAAACACCGAGGTCATTGAGCAGATCCCAACTCATAGTGACCCTGCAGGACACCCCGTGACGTTCCAAAGCTGGGCATTCTGATGGGAGCAAAGAGCCTCACTTTTCTCCTAAAGATGCACTGCTGGATTTGAACTCCTGACCTAGCCCTTAGCACCCCGAGGGGTGGCTCACTATGCCACCAGGGCTCCTTTCCACGAATCCCATGTTAATTGTATAAAAATCCACCATCAACTAAAAAAAAAACAACTCAATATTTTCCCTTTCCAGGGTCCCCCTCCATTACTGAAAACCAAAAGCCCAGCAAAATAATTCCTTCATGAAAGGGTTAACTCTGCTCCTCCCCTGGGGGCTGTGGCTCCCACCACCCTCAGGAGAACTGCAGCCCTCTCCCCATTCTACAGTCCCCCTGCCCCGTGTTAGTGCAGGTGGACGAAACAAACACATTCATAGACACTCATATGTGTATAAGAAAGAGCTTTATATACAAGAGCTGTTGAATATTGAGAAAGCATCCCAGCTCAGATCAAGTCCATAAGTCCGATATTAGCCCATGTCTGATACCAATCTATCAGACGGGCAAATGGCCAATCGCCAGATCAGAGCTGTGCTGTGAGCCACAGCTCTGTGGAGATGACCACCCCGGCCAGCACGGCGGGGTCAGGGCCAGCTTCCCCAGCCTGGCTGCCCTTCCTCTACTCAGGGACCCCCAAACAGCCACACGAGACTCCCCACTTCAGCAGCTTCCAGCTTTGCCACCCACGCTGACAAGAGCCGACAGGGGCACCCTGAAGCCTTCCCTTTGTCCACTATAGACTGTCTTGAAACATGCCCATGGAAGCCACCTCCCCAAGCCTCATGGAAAGGGCATGT